AGTGTGGTCGAAATCACAACAACCATGCCATTTACTAAGGCTGCATAGGGGCGCTCGAAAATCAATAAATACTAAGAATATATCGATGTGCCCCCCCCCCTCCCCCCAAAGGAATATAGATCGATTGGCAACCGCCACTGACGCCAGCAACCTCCCGTGACGTCAACAACCGCCGGGCCTGAAGTAGTTTTTTTTAAATTATTACGGATACATAGTGCGGTTGCTGCAACCGCCCGACATAGCCTCATGTTGTATTGATTTTTTAAACATACTATGGATATATAAGAATCGATAGCAACACAACTGCACTCATTCACCGCCTATTACTACTACTACTGATTTTCAAACAAAATTATATTTTTAAGGGTACACAATTTATTACTCATACAAATATAAAAGAAATTCGTCACTTGAAGAAACAAAAATCAGAACCTGTGCAACTGTATATTATAAAATGTTATGGACATAGGAAATTTAAGGCCTCATGTAAAAATTCGTTTCAATCCGTTCAGTTTTCGAAATATATGTTCAAGAGTTTTGAAAAGCACCAAATCACCTCTTCACAGGCTTAGGGCACGCGAAGGTGACGATGTAACTTGTGGTCTAAATTGAGTGGATTTTGATAATAATCATCATCATGTGGCAGGTCCTCTGCAGAACGTCGCTCTCATCACAGCCTGTCTGAAACAAACTCCGTCTCTCTCCAATCTCCCGCCTCATGCACTTTCCTACACAAGATGTCACTTATATATTATGTACTCATTTTCGTGCTGGTCTGTCTCTGTCCCTTTTTCTCCTCCAATCCGCTGTGGTGCTTAATAGGTCAAAGAATTTACTTTCCGAGACAAGATGCTGTTTACTAGCCAATCTTTCTTGATGTTCAGATCTTTTAGGTTATCCTTATTTCTTTTCTTATCGGGGGTGGGGGGTGGGGGTGAGAGCAGGGTATTATGAGAATGGTTTTGAGGATATGTGATATAAATTTGTGAATGCACTTTAATATCTTGTGTCTGTGGTACAGGTTTAAGCTCTGGGCAGACGAATGTAGCCAGCTGTTTGGCGGGCTAGACGTGGTATCAGTGGAAGCGATACAAGGCAAAGACGGCAGAGATCACATCATAGAAGTAAGCAGTTTGTTTTCTTTGACAAGCTTGGATTCTCTGGGTTTTTTATCAGTGAATCAGATACCGTCCTTACAGTAACAGTTGACTGCAATCGGCGTGTAAATCTTTAGGTACTAGGAAACTGAGAGTGAGTTTATTCGTTTGTGTTTATATGGTTCATATTTCTTTACCCCTTATATCCCACTAGCTGTACCCAGCCACGCGTTGCTGTGGCTCAGTCTGGCTAAATGGAAAAGAAAGAAAATAGAAACGCACATGTCTAATATGGTTAATTTTGCAATCAATATATTCTCAGATAAAGGGATAGTCTGGTTTGCCCACTCAGAACACGTAACATAAAATTGGGTCTTCAAATTAGTTATAATTTAAATTGAATATTTACACGTTTTAAAAAATGTTATCTATTTATCACATGCTAAAGCTTGTTGTATCTTTTAAACTGCTGAAAGTAAAACTTACTACCGTATTCCTAAACAATCAACAAATTGACAGAAAAAAATATATAATAGCTGAGGTAGTATTATTAAAACATAAATAATTTTAAAAAAGGAAAACTTTAAAATCATGTTTTAAGCATGTTAACAGTTACTGTTATCACCCCTCCCCTCCCCCCCCCCCTCCCTCAGTCCACCAACTACTCCTGGCTTCCTCTCCAAAGGATTTGAAAGTCCCTGACGATATTCTTTTTATTGACCTTGGCATCCGTGTCCACCCAGACTAAAATGTTTAGCAGGAATTGAAATGAGAAGTAAATGCGTCTAGTAATATTTACCACATCACCCATCGAGTATCACTACTACTACTACTACTACTACTACTACTACTACTACTACTACTACTACTACTACTACTACTACTACTACTACTACTACTACTTCTACTACTACTACTAAACTACTACTACTACTACTACTACTACTACTACTACTACTACTACTACTACTACTACTACTACTACTACTACTACTACTACTACTACTGCTGCTACTACTACTAATACTACTACTACTACTACTACTACTACTACTACTACTACTACTACTACTACTACTACTACTACTACTACTACTACTACTACAACTACTACTACAACCCCCACCACCACCGCCACAACAGTTTTTTAAAAAAAAACACTGTCACTATTGTCTGTTTTACCCCCTTTTAGGTCGGTGTAGACAGATGGTCGTGAGCCTGAGGATTTAAGGCCTCATGGCTAGTGCTGTCGCCACGGACTGTTCCGGTTAGGAACTACCACTATTCGGTTACTACAACCGCTGCTGCTACCATGTGCAAATTAATCTTGTGGCATGGTGGTTACTGTGACTTTCCCGACATGGGCAGTAGTGATGGCATTAATGTCACGTGAGA